TTATTATTATTCTTTTATTAAGTTTTTTCATTTGGTTAGTGGAAATTTATGTCATCTCATTGATCCTACATTTCAAACTCAGTCTCATTTATTAGCGCACCGGCATTACGCGGCGAAGACAAAGTATATTTTGAGTTTGAAAGTTTGGGGAAATGTCTGATTGCGCGTTCGTAGCTACGAGACATTTCCAATTAGAACAGTGCTAGGGGCACTCTCCGACCAACACTTCCATTTTTATTGGGCCACGTTATTTTGATTAAGAGGGTGCGTTTCAAAAACCCGAAAGCAAGCTTACGTGGCCCAATGAAAGTGGAAGTGTTGGCTGGAGAGTGCAGGAAGCGAGTGCTCCATTATTTGAATAAAAAAAATGGAACTTTGATTATGGCACTCATTGACACTTAACTTCCATAACCACCGGATTCCTTTCTTCACATGCTTGCTGCAGCTCTGCGCCTTTAATCTTTATATGGACAGCTTCCAATTCCTGCTCCATCTCACTCACGTGCGAAGAAACAGAAGAATCTGATGTAGATATCATGCAACCCCCCACCCCATTCTGAGTCATTGCCACGTATGCTGTCGGCGCATTTACCCATTTTACCCCATTCTGGATCATCGCTAGTAATTGCCATCACTAGCGAACAATGATCATTCTTCAGTGTTTCTCGTTTCAGCTGGGTTATTGTCACGTTTTATTTTGTTAAGGTCATTTATTTTATCTACAATTTTATTAATTTATAATTTTTTTAAATAATTTTAGAATAAAATGTGAATTCATGAAATTTAATATTAAAAGTCAAAATGTTTAAAATCTTTAAGTTTGGATCTAGGGATTTGGTGGGGAGAGGGGGCTTTTTCCTTCTCTTTGTAATTAGATGAACTCCCTCCAAATTTGTTATAGGGACCGGATTAGATCTATTTTCATTTTTAAATTTTTTTACCCTTAAAAAAAAGTGATAACAAATAAAATATATAGTAAGACTGTTATGAAATTCTTTTAATATCTTTAATAAATTAATATATATATAAAAGTTATGAATGATATTTAAATAATTTTATAAAAAATCTTGATACCTTAAATATTAAAATATTTTAATTTTTATATTTTTAAAAAATACATATAAGTCCCTACTTTTATTATATAAAAAAAACCTTAGAATCTTAATTTTAAAAAAC